CTCTGAAAAAGAAATATTATCAGTGATTTTATTCTCATCTTTAAAGAATAAAGGATGCCACTGGGAGGCAAGATCGGAGACACATTAATGACTCCAGGCAACACCGAGCATTCGGAGCAGTAGGGGAAGCACAAAATGCGCCTGGTACCAGGTTGCTGTGATACACGTGGATTTTCCCCGCACGGGAGCGTTAAGCAAGTGTGAGCCTGAGTGCGCGTACACCATCTGATAACTCATTGAGAAACAAAAACAAGGTCTGGACGTACTTCATGGTACAATATATCGTCCAGCTGACTAAAGCACATTCCTATGTAACGAGGCACACCGTAAGCGTTAGCTATGATCTCTAAACCATCGCATGACTCACAGAGACCTTTTATTCCTTTGAGATACATACAGCTAAGGCAAAAAGAAAAAAGCCTGGTTGCTGGCTGAAGCACCATGGTGGATGCCTGAAGATGCAGAGAACAATAGCAAGAGACTGTAAGAGGCTGTATCTACCCAATGGGAAAAAGTTGTAAGAAACTACTAGAAACCCATAATATTCCAGGAAAGTCAAGGATAAAAACATTAATATGAGTAAAACATAGTTCAAAACACACTCTTGGAAACACTACATCCTGCTGCGGGTTTTAATGCTACACAATGCAGCCAGAAAGCCAGAAATAGCATGGTGCCAATGAGAAAAAGGCAGCAAACACGCGAGAGTTTGGAGGTTTGTTCGTTGGATCCTGCTGCACACTGCAGGTACCAGAGTTTCTGTTTTAAGGAGTGTTTGGGGTGTTTAAATATATGCGGTAATTTAATGTAAGGGGCTGTAAATAACACACTAAAGAAAACACTCTATAAAAGCACTATTTTAATGAAGGGTTTTCTAACTATAAGGGCAGTGAAAATTCGAAACAGGCTAGCTAGGAAGGTTGCGGAATTTGCTTCACAAGATATTAATTGACAGCTTCCTGCTCAACGCGTACAAACTGTCCCTGATCCACATCTATAATGCTCTATCTACAAAACTGGTAGGTGTTCAGCAAGCTATTTAACATCGCCTTTTGTTTTCCCCAGCTGTGCCTGGAATAGCTCTATTCAGCCTGTAATCAAAAATCAGTATTTTGAAGTGAATAAGCATGTTAATGAGCGCAGGATTTGACAATGAGCTTGGAATAAGCTGGGCAACCAAAGATGCCAGCAGAGAATAAAAGCCACTAAACCCCCCAAATAGGCTGGAGCAAAGCCAAGGTAGAACTGACCTCAGGGTAGCAACCCGGTGGCTGGGAAGGTCCCGTAGGGATGAAGGCAAATTCTGCTTCCCCTCATACAAGTTATCTCCAAGGAAAGAAGTAAAAGGAGATTCCCTGCCCTCATCGTGCCTTGCAGCAGGGAACTTGCCTCGTAGAAAGGAGCAGAGCCCTGAGAGGCAGCGGGGAGGGAGCTGCAGGAGCTGACAAGCGCTGCACCCTGACAGGCCAGCGCCTGGCCTGCAGGTTTAGCTAAAACAAAGAGGTATTTTCCTCTCAAGCAGGGTCACATCTGGCCTGCCAAGGCTTTGCCATGCCTGCCCAAGGCTCCAGCCTGCAGCTCTGAAGTGGATCCCTGGAACAGTCAGCAATGGCTCCTCAGAGGCCTGGAAAATATTCCCTGTGCTCTGCCTGTGCCATGCAGGGCTAAGGATTTGGACAAAACATTGGCTGCCGGCAAAAGACCCTCTCCAGCCCCACAAAACGACTTATATCCTCTGCAGGCACTTCAGACGCTCCTGTTCAACACTCGATAAATCAGGCTCGCAGCCACCCTCCAGTGAACTCTGCAGCACCAGCCGTTAGGCAGCAGCACACGGAGCGCACAGGGTTACAGCGATGGGGAGACCATTTTAGGCAATGTGTGAACACCAGACATGACAATTCAGAGCTCCCCGCATCTAATTCCCGTTCTAGCACCATGTATAGAGCCGTGCTGCCTGGACACAAGGGCAAGGGAGGTGCTGGAGGGGCTTCTGGGCAGAAGAACACTTTCAAGCTCAGGTTCTAGCAGGACGAACAAGGAAGGGTCAGCATGGAGCGCACGCAGCAGGGAGGCAGGTCTGGGGGGCTGTGAATGTCCCTGTGTCCGTGATCAAGGTGATCACCAACACACCAGCAAGAAGGGCCAGCTGGGGCCTCTTGAATCTCCTGGACTTGAACCTATCTAGAGGGACCCAAGCTCCGTCTAGCTGCTCTGCAGTGGTAAGGGTCAGGGCATCATTGCCCTCCAGCATGGCCGGACAACAGCGTTCACCTTTCTTCAGCTGAGGCTGGAGACAAGATGACAAAGTGACACTTTCAAGAACACACTCTGTTTGCTTTAGGGAAACATTAAGCAGATTAGGTACTGCAGTTGCTTAATTCGCCTCTGTCCGGGAACCATAAAAGGTTATTGCTGCAAGGAGCAGCCTCATCAGAGGAATTCCCAAGGCAGAGCTGGGGAGGAAGCGCTGCTGGCTGGTCCCGGCAGGTCCCTGCAGCTCACGAGCGGGGCTGTCCGGGGCTTTGCCAGGCCGGCTTCCTGGCAGGCAAAACATGACAAAGCTGGGCTTCTGCGTGGGGAAGAAGGAAGTAGTGACCGGCATCCACCGCATGTAACAGTCAGGAAGAGTGTCGGGGGTTTTGATGCTGTGGGGACAGTGGGCCCAGCCAACTGATCTGTTTTTTTTCCAAGGAAAAAAAACCCTCTGTCCTGCTGTAACCTGGTGCAAGACACTGGGAGCCCAACAAAGATTTAAATTCTTCCATTTCAGACCTGCAGTCCAGACCACAACTAACTGCCTGTGCCGATTTCACTCAGATGAGGCCATCACCAGCAAATGGTTACAGCAGGGGACAGCAGCCGAGCAGCTAGCGCTGGAACAAGCTCTGCCAGCCATGGATTTACTGCAGCCCTGGGAACAGCTCCTGGCCCTTCCTCACCTGCCTGCTCTGCTGATCAGCGCAGGATGCTGACGGATCCCGAGTGACCCTGGAGCCAGGCCAGCGCTGGTGGGGGAAAACGTTAGAGGAAACGTGGGGCATAAGTGCTCTCCTTGCAGGTCGCATCCTCTAAGCGTCGAACACTCCCTGCATTCCACTGTGCAAAGGCCACACCAAACACGGCAGGGCAAAGGCACCGGACAGTTCTGCTAAGTGAAACAATCCCAGGAGGAAGGGAAGATCAGAGCATCTGCGCATTTCCCAGCAACCCAGGGCAGAGACTGCCAGGAAACCACTGAGACCATCATGGACAAGAAAAAAATCATTCAGTCCCCCATGGCTGCTGCCCTAGCACCAGCCGCCCTTTACATCCTGCCTTCCAGGATGACCAGAACTATAGGATAAAAACCTCTGTAAAGCAAGCGCTAAACTTGCTGTGCCAAAATCAGAGTAAGTGCAGTTCTTGGCACGGTCTGGGCCCCAGGTCAGCGGCCGCTGGCAGCAGCGGGGATTGGCTCATGAGGCCGGGGCTGGAGGAGGGGAGAAGATAAGCTGTCCAACACTGTAACACACTGTACAGCGAGCTGCTGCCTTATCACTGTGTTTGGGGCCTGTTTTTAGGGCATGGAGGGCTGGGGGAATAAGGGATCTAGCACAGTGCAGCTGCTCCTCAGCTCTCTCTCAGCTGAAGGGTCTCAGCAGTTTGCTGACGAAGGATTTGCAGCCGCTCTGATATTCTCCAAGTTTCCAGCTAGCAGTCACGATGCAGCCCCCATCAGTGACTCTTCCGGGCACTGAGGGACAGCCAAGTGCCACGGTGCAGACAGGCAGAGCCAGAAGAGGAGCTAAACAAGACCCTACTGTTTTGTGTCCACAGTGCAAGCCCCAATGGGACAAACTGCTCATGCTGGAGGGAGAGGGTGCCATCAGGACATGCTCCCCAAAGCAGTTAGTGCTTTGGTCTCTATGAGGGTGGTTCATTTAATATGGAAATTTGTCCAACTGAGCCTTCCCAGTGAGGCCGTAACCAGCAGGCACAGCACTAGCAGGACTGGAGGGAGTGTCTCAGACAGGGCTCAGGGGAACTGCTTGGTGCTTACCATGGGATTGGATCTCTGCATGATCCTGCTCCCTGCTCTGACTTTACCTTCCTGTGACTGTTCGGTTTGGATCTCGCTCTCCTGCATGTTCATGGAGGAGAACTGGGGGGGGGAAAGAGGGAGGAAAGCGCTGGCGCATATCGAGAGCTCTAATGCCACAGTTAAACATACTCAAAAGCATCAAACTGAAGCAAGTGTTTGCAGGGAAGGACAGGAGAGGCCAGCTCCTCAGGGACTGCAAGTGTCCTGCTTCCCAGGGCTCTGACTTTGCTCTTTCAAAGTCAAGGTACTGCATACAGGAATGAGGCCACTTCACACCATTGCTAGCGTTTCCCAGCCCTGCTCAAGTTGGTGCCACACAAACTGCCACGGTTCAGACTATACTCTGAGCACAGAGTTCTGCTTGTCGGCTCTCACTGAGGACCGGGGGAGCCTTTCCCCCAGCCTCTGCTCAAACACCAGACTCTCAGCACACAGCACAACGCTCAGTCCTCTCCAGGCAGCCTGGCACAGATAGCTGCCTGCAAAAACTGAGACCTCCAAATCACTGGCAGCAAGGAATCAAATCTATTACAAAACCAGAAGGCTGATATTTAACCCATTACCTAGCTCTTAAAAGCACTCGCAAGCCTTGAAAACAGATTAAAAGGAAGAAAAAGCATTAACCAAGACTTAGGCAGTGTCCCCCGCAGAGAGGAGCGGTGCATACCCAACGCACACAGCCCTGCCTGGGGAACCCAGTGCTCTTCGCTACCTGCTCGCCTGGGACTGGCTTTCCTGGCTGCGGGCAGCAGCCCAGCTCCCGAAACAGTCTGTCCCCCCCCACACACAGAGGCCATTACCTCGCTTAAAAGACCATCTCTTCTTCCAGCGCTTTGAGAACGACGGCCAGGAGTGGTTCAGCGGTGAGTCTGACATTTGGGAGTCCTCCAAGCCCCGTGCAAGGTATAACCCCAAGCAGAAGACGACAGCACAGAGCACAGCAGAGCTCAGCGCGGTCTAAGGCAGTGCTGCAGGCTGCAGCCCAGGGGCTGCCAAGGGGGGAGTGGAGAAGCCAAGTGTTTTGTCAGAAGTATCAGCTGATGGAAGCTGTAGCCAGAGAGAAATTCCTGGTCTTCAGTGTTCCCACCTGTGTGATGGGTCAGTGACTTCCTACAGCAGGGCCTGGGGATTAGTGGCCCCAAAGCACAGAGTAACCCCTGAACACTAATCCAGGCTTGCAGATGGAAACAGAAAGCAAGCTGTTAACACACCATAACCTTCCCCTATCTGCCAAAACTTCCTTGCTCCGTTCATGATTATCAGATGTCAGCCTGACAAACTGTCACCTTTAAGTCAGTACTGCAGGGGCGCTGAGCCCCTTCACCAGGGACACGCGAGATAAGAGTTAAGATCGTGGGCTTGATGCATTGGTGTTTGGCATCATTTTCAGGTACCAAGGCATAGCCTCTGCAAGGGAAGATGTGAGACCCCATCCCTCTGCGACACCAGCATCATCTTGTGGCTCTTAGCAAATCCTTGTCCCCTGGCTAGAATCTTTCTCCAACTGCTTCTCAGCTCCCCTGTGCTAAGGATTTACATAGAGGCTATCTCCAAACTGCCCCAAGACCAAATTCCCTATCCCTAGTTCTCCGAGCCTGTTGCTTCCACCTTGTACCAGCCCCTCAGCCCAGACCAGCTCCAAATGTTGCCCCCAGCCTCTCGATTAGGCTGAAGAAACAGCTTTACCCCGTCTGCTTGTGAGCTCCTGAGTGAGACTGAACCTTCTCCCCTCTGTTCAGCTTGTGCCTTCAGCCCTGCTGAGCAGACCACAGCAGTTTAGGAAAGGTCCCGGGCATCTCCACAGCAAAGCACAGCTTGGGCTGGTGTCACACACAGGTGGGTGGCAACAAGCATTTCCCTCATCCAGCCACAAACCCCAGGCGGTCACCTGCCCAGCACAGCCCTCACCTCTGCTTGGGTGTCCTCCTTGACAGCTAGCGTCCAGCCCAGGCGTGGATGCTTTGGAGGGGGATCTGGAGGACTCAGCTGCAGGGCTTGGCCAGGCCCCCATCTCATGCCAGGCCAAACGCTGTGGCTCCCAGCCATGGGTGGTGCAAAGGCCCCTTTCTTTGGCAGAAGGCACCTTTGCACACCTTCAGCTACAACACGGCAACCAGCAGAAGCCAGGACCAGCACCCTTCAGGTGTTCGGACACCTCAGTTCTGCCCCAAAGGTAGCTGCAAGTTAAACCTCAGCCTCCTCTCCTCCCCTTCACTTGCAGCAGGGCTCCTTGTAGGCTGAGGCTCTGCGGCCCAAGTTTTGCGTTCAAGTGTGCGTACTGAGGGGAGAGAAGGCTCAGCAAAGCCCAACGCTTGGCCTTTTTGCTTCGAGGTTAGTTGCGTCCTCCTGAGGCCTTGAGGAAGATGAACGACAACCCCAGGAACGTGGAATGGAGCTCATATCGAGAGCGACTTACCCTAAGGACTGGAGACATCTCCCCAGCAAGTCCTCCAAGCACACCTGCACCTGACGGCCCCACTTCTTCTCCAGATGCTGGAACAAAGTGAGGAGCAGAGACTCATCGGGGAAGCAGCAGCCACGCAGTCGGTTTGCTCACGGGGACCTCTGGCTCAATCGTCTCACCACTTCCCCTTTCTTAGGGCACAAACAAACCCGCCTCCTTCGACAAAGGGATTGGCGCTCCCACTATGCTCACATCCTCCTTCACGGGGGATCAAGGCTCTGGAGGGTCAAACAGAGCTGCCTCAGGCCTGCACAGCCCAAAATGCCCACTTGGGAGCCTGGAGAGCAGATGAACCAGTGATGGATGTGAGGCCAGCAATTGCTATAAGCTGCTTCCTGTTCCGTTCAAAGAAAAACCACTTTGTGTGTGCCCTGAGAGCCTTATACGCACAAGGGCTGTGCCTATGGGCTTGTTGCACCATCCCTTGCTAGCTTCATGCCAGTGGCAGTGAGGCCCATTAACGTTTCCTTGCCCTTCAAGGGTAGCCAGTGCTCACGTGGGTTGACACAGAGCAGCTCAAGGAACTGCACAGAAGACAGAAATGAAGACCTTGAAGCTCAGGAAGTCGCAGTCTCACACAGGATGATGCAATTGCAAAGCACAGAAGCGACTGTCTTGTCTAAATACATCTGTGCAGCTGAAAGACTGATCTACAGGCACTTCAGCTCCCAAAGCAAGCAGGGAAGAGGGATGAGGCTGTGACACCCCCCTGCCCATGGACTGATGTGTGCGCGTACCTCATCTCACTGCCCCGAGCACATGCCAGCCCCAGCCGAGCCTTAATCGGAACAAGATCCACTCACACTCCAATTACTCAGAGACCGCAGCTTTGGCAGCACTTGGAATAGCAATTACCCAGTGCTCCAGGAAACCACAAGAGCAAAGAGGAATTAAGGTTTAATTTCTCTGAAGTCCACAAGAGCTCGATAAGGATCAGATCAGGACTCTGCCTAAACCAGGCAGCTGCCCTAACTGAAAGGATGAGGGAGTTGTCCTCAGCTCGCACAAGGAAGAGACCTTATACCTTCTCCTTCTGCCCAGTGTCTGATGTGGTTCTGGGGCTACCGACACCAAGCTGTGCAGGCAGCATAAGTCAGCAACAAGGGCTAACAGCTCGAGGGCTGGACAAGCCTCAGCTGTCTCTCCCCAGCAGCTACCCTAGTAAGCAACAAGCCTCCTGTGACAGCAAGTTCCAGTTCTGTGGCTTTGCGTAATTTTGCATTTTAGGATCCCCAGAGAAGAAGCCTGTGCCAGCAGAAACATATTTTAAAATATTTTGGAATTGCACATTTTTCATTGCTCTCTTATGGTAACAGAAACCCAGATGGGCCCAGAAAGTGCTGAAGTTCTGCTGAGCTGCTTTACGCAGCTGCCCAAAACACAGGCGTGGGGTGGCATGCTGAGAGCACATCTGACTGCAATCGTCTCTTACACTTGTTACTTTCAGAGGCGCTAGATGGCATCAGCACAGCACGTTTTCTATTAACAAGCAACACACTCTCCCTTCCCATCCTAGGCCATCCCAGCCCTGGCTGAGGTGGCAGCTAGAGCAGTCCTTACTAGATCTGGCAGTGATGGGGCAAGAAGTCCACAGAGTAAGGGTTCATCTCTAGCTCCTCAGGAAAAAAGGAGCACTTTTTGCAGAAAAAGAAAGTTGCATTAGTCATGTGTATAGCAACTCATTGCACAAGCACCAAAAGCTATTCCTGGGTCCTCCTGCCTTGGCCTGGGAGAGGTCGCGGCAGCTGTCCCCAAAGCTCGTCCTGTGCCCAGGCACATCTGGCTTTCCTGGAAGCAGAGAGCCCTGGATGGGGACCCAGCTGCTGAACAGCCCCCGGCTTGCGGGCACAGCCGAGGGAAGCAATCACCTTTGGTGACCGCAGGGCGCCTCTAGCGCCTTCAGGCTGGGCAGGGAAAGACCCTCATGAGAGCAGATGCTTGGGGAGGAGCCCAAGTCAGCCTGTGCAAGGCCTGTAGCCAGCCCTGGGAACCAGGGAAGGAAACATGAAGCTACAGCCATTAATCCCACCAACTGCATTGCCGTAAAATCACACCCTCCTGTCAACTACCACGAACAGCCGGCATGGGCCGCAGCTCCAGCACACGATGCGGGCAGGTAAGGGCTCGCTGCTGCAGACCCTGGCGAGGAGGAACAATATGACAGGGAGCGATTTTTGCTCAATAGGAACAAAGCAAGGTCTCATGTTTGAATAGCAAAATACATTTAGATGAAAAACAGCAACAGTAAGTCCCGAGCTTGTTGTTGCAGCTGATCAGGAAGGAAATCTCACCTCTCAAAAAAAGCAAAGCAAACCAAAAAACCCAAGAAAACACCACCCTAAGATTAAAGTTAGAAGAATAATTTTACCTCTCCAGAGCTGCCTGACACAGGTTAGGTGAGATGGTTCCTGGTGCAAATCCAGCTGCTCAAACTGAGGGATGAAGCAGGTCACCTGGACAGTTTTTTTTTTTTTTATTTTTGTTGTTGTTGTTGTTTTTAACTGCCTGCATAGAAGTTTGTCCTGCTAGAAGTGAGAAAAACCGGAGTCTGTGCACATGGAAATAACAGAATGACATTACAGAAAGGCAGCTTTAGACGTTTCAGGCAGAAGGAATCCCTTCACCAATGTTTACCCAACGGCTTCATGCTACCAAAAACTGTACCACCAGGACACAGCCCCGGACAGATCACACAAGCTGTTTTGCAGAGAAGTTAAACAGGCTTCAAACCACAAGCCTATAATTGGCAGATCTATTTTTTTTTTTCTTAACACCATTCATTTTGTAACTGAAAGTATTGCTTATTCCAAGATATGAATTTAATGCTTTCTCTGTGGTAAAGCAGCATTCAGGGCTGCGCAGACAGCAGACAAAATGAACTGAGTTATTCTTAGATAATTTATTCAGAATTTTAATATAAACAGTTAATTGTTCAATATTTTGACACACAGCAAGATTTTTTTTCTTAATACTCAAAAGATATTTTCTGTACATGTCACTGCTTGGCTCTCATATATGAAAACATTGAAAAAATAAATCAAGTTTTTGGGGTTTTTTTGTTTTGTTTGTTTGTTTGTTTGTTTTAAACCATGGCACATTTGATCCTTTATTTCAAACAAGAGGTATCTGCAATACTACTTGTATTCTGGAACCTTTTATATGCAGAGAGAAAGGCAGAGCAGCAAGATTAAACAGGAAAAAAAATGAAGACTTCACAGAATGTCACATAACATGTAACTGAAACTGTCTTTCGTTTATTTAAGGTGCAAGCAGAACAACATTTGCTTTTGGCTGTGTTTGATAAAAACCGATGTCCAGTACCCAGATCCACATAGTTCCTCAAACACAAACCATTGTTCTGATACTTGAAGAAAATAGTCGTTGCCCAAACTAAAGCAAAAAGGTAAAGCTTTTCTTTCTACATCACATTCTTAACTTTTCAAATTTGAAAAGTGGCATTTCCAAAAACGAACCTCCATCAGCCAGTTTTCATGGGACTCGGTTATGGGATAAGCATTCAGAAACTAAGACTGCTAAAGCGTTACCAGATGCTGCTAGGCAAATTCAGATTTAACAGAAGAGCTTTGGTAACAAGTCCAGCTATGATACTCATATTTCTTAGGTAATTCCATCCTGAGCTCAAGCTGTGTTTTCTGTCAATAGTACTAAACACTCAAGTCTTAGTAATACAAAGTCAGAGCCATACTGGGGACTCTGGGTCTTAATACTGGCTGGGATTCAGCAAAGTGAGCATGTATATGCCCACATTTAAACTCCGCTGATGGCTCCTCTTTAGTTGCCCGAATTATTCCAGGTACCCTCATCCAGGCCAGACCGGGCTCTCACAGTGGCTTTCTGCACTGAGCGAAAGGAATTATTTAGCACCATCAGCTGGAACAATGTACTCCAAACAAAATGACTACCAAACCCATCATTTCATGCCGATTCAAATATGCTGGCAAAAAAATAACAACACTGTAGGAGTTAATACTAACTTTATTATACAATATTTAAAAAGTCATTTCTCTACCTGTCCCCTTATAGCTTGCATTGTGCTGCAGTTGATTTGCTGAAACTGCAAGAATAAGTGCTTACTTTTGAAAAGGACAAGCAATTTAATTTTAAGAAATACACATTTAATGACAGCAGATTTAATAAAAATAGTAGCTTTATGATTGCTTTTGAATAGTCAGATTCCTCCAAAAGTCAATTTTACTACTGGCTTCACTCTTGTGATATTTGTAACAAGGCAAGCCAAAACAGAACAGGTTGAAGCTTGTTAATGCTCTTACACCAACATTCACATACAGTATCCAAAGCAAAGTTAACACAGAGCCAAGCAGAAGGTAATAAAAAGGCCAAATTTAATTAAGTTCATACAAATATCAACTAATCTTACTTTGAATTTTATGCATTTCTGAAGTTACTATTTCTTGATTCAAATTCATTCTACAGCTCCTTTCCCTGGAAAACACACACAGGAAACTATGAGGGGCATCAGCTGCTCTGTGGAGGGGAATGAGCTCCTGACACGCCAAGTCCACCTGGTCTGCAAGTCTTCACACCAGAAGTCAGGTGAGGCAGCTCTGAGGGAGGCTAGGATATAGCAAGAGGATCAGAAGGTTTTCTGCAGTTTCTTGTTCACTCTGCTATTACTCCACAGTCTCTGAACCAATCTCACATGGATCACGGGAGCACCTAGCACAGCCTTTAGACTAAGGTTTTATGGCACAAAAGATACTGGTTTACTTTCTGACTTGTAAAGCAAGGTTCCAGTCTTGGTATGAGGAATCACTGCTAGCAGTGAGGGGCCCGGAGTACCTCAGGGTCCATCTTCCTATCACAGTGACATTAAGAGGGAACTTGATTGCCTCTCTCCCTTCCCCTAAACAGGGAGGCTCAAGGATAACTGACACAGTACCCTTCTTGCTCCTGTCTTTTCGTATTTGCCTTAATCATATATTTAGGTCAGTAACACAATAAGCAACTCTGAGATTCTTCCAAAGAGATACCAACATTATATGCAACATACTAAAGTTAAGCGTTAAGTGTCCCATTACTATAATACAAATTTAG